AAAATCTGAGTAGGTGACATTCTATTTGAATAGACAAAATTGGAGCTCGAAGGCTTTGATCGTGCCTACTTTCTTGAAGGAGAAAAGCAATCTCTTCACCAAGACTAAGGTAATTATGGACTCTTTCAGTTGATGTCAGTGTAATTTAGTGTAAATTTAATAACTTTAGCCTTTCATTACATCTTAGCAGAGTGAAAATTGCTTAATAAATCCAATTAAATTTATGTGTGTGTTATAAAAGCAAGGACCATTGATCTCCATTGAGTATGAAATATCATCTAATTGGTTGGTAACTATGTCAAGTTGCAGAATAGAATTAGCTTCATTAATTTATTTGTCTATTTTCTTCATGGTTGAGTTAATGAAATTTATGTGTGTGTTTTAAAAGCAAGAATGTAAACCTGTATATTTTGACCCTTCAACTATGAAAATGTATTACTTTCACACCGTCTAGACCACCTTCAAAATGGGTGTACTTGTACGATTTAATAGTTGAGGGGTCAATATGAGCGGGTTCATAGATGAGAGGAGTAAAGTGATATTCACTAATAGTTTGAGGGGGTCTTGGGGTAATTGACTTATTTTGTTTCAAATGCTTGATTTTCATGTGCTCCTCTAGCCATGAGGTGTATGTGCTGGTTATGTAGTACATACAGCTACATTTTGTTTCTTTATGCATCAAAACCATCAAGCTCTCTTACCCTTAACTCCTTGATATTAGTTCCTTTGTAGAGTGGCTAATGTTCTCTCTGATTATCTTGGAGGGATGAATGAAGATTTGATCAAGGATAACTTTGTTATTGTATATGAGGTATTTATACAAAATCTTGTTTTAGTGCTGATCGTATTTTTAAGGAAATGGTTGTAACAATTCTCAGTATAACTATCTTCCTAGAACTAGTGTTTTGGTTCAAGGAGCTGTTATAGGTTTTGTGTACATATGTCACAGGGATCTTCTATGATTTAGGATATTGAAATCAGGGTTATGTACTAGTCATGAATATTATCTTTTATATACACACATTTAGTGATCAATAACTAGATTGTTTACTTTAGTAGTTGATTAAATAATATCTTTGATATTGGGTTTTTTTTTTAATAAGATGACAATTTTATGCATTATAGAGGGGCTCAAGTCCAACCTTTAAATGATTAGGACTGTTTCTATATGTGTGGATGCATGTGTACGTGCACGTTGTTTGTCTTGGCTACATCATACATATTTTGCAATTTGAACGTGGCTACAATTCTTTCTTTTTAATGATTGATATCTGGTGTTTATTTTTTTTGAAAAATTATTGATCTCTTGCCTACTCTTGTTCACTAATATTCATGTAAGCTTTATGTGGTACTTTAAATGATTCTTCTAATATTAGATTGCTTATCCTATTTGTTCTACCATAAAAGGATATTCTAAACTTGTGACCATCTTTCTTGAAGAGCCTCACCGTCCTTCCCCCATTTCCTTACTTCAGCTTTCTTCTCTTTACCTTCTCCCAAGGTTGGTCAGTTTTGTTATAACTCAAAGTGACATTTATATTTTTTGGCTTGCTGCAACTTGTAGCTTTTGGATGAGATGATAGATAATGGATTCCCTCTCACAACAGAGCCTAACATCCTGAGGGAGATGATACCTCCTCCAAATATTGTTAGCAAAGTGTTGAGTGTTGTGACTGGCAACAGTTCCAATGTGAGCAACACCCTTCCAGGTACAACAACTTCTTGTGTTCCATGGAGGACAATGGACCTGAAACATTCAAATAATGAAGTTTATGTTGATCTTGTTGAAGAAATGGATGCAATAATAAACAGGTCTGTAGTTAAAGATTTCCTGTATCTATTTTCGTTAGATACTCTCTTGGTAATTTCAGTTTTCTTCTGTTCTTTCAATGTTGGTAATTTGAAATTTGCTGAGTTCTTAGAATGTGTTCTGGGGTTACATGCCACTGATATCTTATTATGAAATTTGACACCGCAAGCTGGGAAACTTTTAAAGAACAAATTTATGATTTTGTAATATCAGCTTTAAGGACACTGTAAGCAGAAATATCAGCTTTAAGGGCATTTCCTGACCAGCCTTTCTTGAGAAAAGCAAATAATCCAACTTCTTAGGAATTGATTTTTGAGAAAGTAATTCTTTGTCCAAGGGAGTGGCCATCAATTTTGGGCTTCCGAATAATCATAGGTGGATTTGCTCATCTACTTATTGTCTCTAAACTTATGTGGAATAAAAACGCCTCAAACTTGTTATGTTTTATATTGATTGTGTCCAAGAAATGAGACTTTAATAAATAAATAAATATATGAAGTGAATAAAAGCATTTCTATCTGACTGGTAACCACTGCTAGAATGACAGCTCCATGAACCTTGCCATGCTCCCTTTGAATCTTTTAGAGGAATTTCAAGATCAGAGTTGACTTGAAAAGCTGTCTTGCTTCTGATTACTTGGAAGCTAACTTAGATATCATGGACCATTTAATATCTGGGTTATTTAGCAACTCCTGTGTATGTCTACGTTTTTTATTGCATGTAAATTCATTACCTACTTTAATGTTTGTTTAGGTACGAGGATCCAGGCATTGCTTTACATTATGGTGGAACGTTGAGGTAGTGTATACATCATCAAAGTGTAGCAAGGTAAGCAATTTGAAAGCGTACATTGGTAATTGATTTTTTCTTTCTCTTCTTTTTTTTCCTTTTCCCCTATTTTTCCTTTTCTTTTTTTTCTTCTCCCCTTGTCCTTATGATCAGTCTTTTACTTAAACTATTTTGTTCTATCTTTTTGACATATCATTGTTAATTTGGTTGTATTGGCGACTCTCTTTTAGGAGAACACCAATTTGCTTTATTTTTGGTCCATAGACTCGAGTAAATTTAAGGTTGTTATCTTTCTTACTAAATTGGCACTATAGGTTACAAATGAACCGAGTTGTTCATGAATAGCTTGGTTGGGCATGTCTGCTAAATGAACAAGCTCAAACCAAAGTTTTTGGCTTTTTAGTAATTGAGCTGGCCTCAAGTAAACCTAAGCTTAGCTCGAAGAACACAATCATATATTAATTAACATTTATTTTTATTGATATATCAAATATATTTTAATTATTTTATTTTATTTTTATCTATTATGTTTGGTGTTTTTGCAAATTTACATATTTGATTGATCAAATTTATTAATAATTAATGTGCATATAATTTAGTTTTTCTTTTTTCTTTTCATGCCTGAGCTTGGCTTATTTATGTTATTGAGTTGACTCAAGTCGAGCTCAAGTTTCTCAAAGGTTGAGCATCCCAAAGCTTGGCTTGGCTCGGCTTGTTTGCAGCCCTAATTGTCAATATATCCATTGCTGTGTATTACTCATTTGTATATATTTCAGGCTTCTCCTCAGCAAGCTAGCCTCTGTCCATTTGGAGGGTCTTACACATCAGCAGAAGCTTGCATTTTGGATAAACATTTACAATTCCTGCACGAGGAATGTAAGAGAGAGGCCTATCTATCACAAATGACTCAATAAGTTTTGAAGTGACTGATAATATTAAGCTTAAGACATTTATAGATTTATTTATTTAACTTTTGGACATTTTTTTGCTTACATTATCAATATTTCAGGCATTTCTAGAGCAGGGCATACCCGAAACTCCTGAAATGGTCGTAGCACTGATGCAAAACGTGAGATCTTCTCATCATTCTCATCATTTTCATTCCTTTCCTCTCATTTTTTGAACAAATAACCTACTTACTTTTCCTTAGGGAAGATGGTGCTTTAGATGCATAGATTATTGAAGGCATGCCTAGAAGAGCTTTAGATGCATAGATTATTGTTATTCTTTTTCTATCTAGCTTTATTTGACTACAACTTTTTGAAAATTTTAAAATTTAATAAAAATTTAATTTATTTGAGATTTCTAGACAAAATGATGGACAAGAAGATAGAGAGAAAAAAATAACTATTGCCAAAAATTAGTTTTAATGTTATGTTAATAAAATTGATTTAACTCATTTTATTCAAACTATGAGGGAACGATCGTCTATCCTTTATCACGCAAGTTGAAACAAATAGACGGAGAATGAGTATTTCCTAGAATTAAACAAATTTATATCGACTTTAGACTCATGTATATATCAACCTTCACAGGGAAATCTGATGATTGGATAACAAGTTTATTATGCTTTTTGCTTTTTGGGATCTGAAAATTTCCCCGAACACACAGGTTGAGGAACGTACCATTCCAATAGAGGAATTGCTTGATGGTTAAGAAGTTTTCTGCACAGGAACTGCTATTGGTATTGTTCCCGTTTTTATCATTCTGACAAATTCAACTACAAAAGAAATAGCTTAATCTTATAACTTGAGATGGTGTGGTTCCTGCTTATTGTTATTTTATGCGAGATGCAGGGCATGAAGATGCTGATGCTTTGATGAAAACAAATTCAAGTACAAAAGAAATAGCTTAATGTTTGTATTACTTCTATAATATATATATCTTCTTAGTCATCAGATGCTGGCTAACGGCATTGATGATTTCTCTATTCTGGTTGAAGTTTGAGTATAGTGTTCTTTATGATTCTTGATCTACTCATTAATTTTTTTTTACTGGTTTTCAAGTTTACATTTCTTATTCCGATCACTAGCCAACAAAACTGATCCTCTAATTTGTTGATTTTGCACTTTATTAGGGTGCTAATCTTATGGTGTGGGTTGCAAAAAGGTCGATGGTTGATGAGCTGGAAGCAATGCTCGATGTGGTAGACCCTCAGCCTCCTGGCAGATCTCTTTCCATGCGAAGGAGGACATTTGATATGCCTGATGATCTCATCCAGAAGGAACTTGCAGCCGTTGTCGCTGAGGTCATTCAAATGCTTGATCAAGAAAATGGTACCTTTGACCCATCCTTGTTAAGTCCATAGAAATATGGCAAAATCACCTCATTTTGAGGTCACAAAGTTCTCTCAACTAGGTGTAGGAAGGTGCACTTCTACTTATCTTTACCCTCTCATTTAGCCCTAATTGAGAAATTTCTGAGACTCGTTATCTAGTTGGTCACGAAGAGTTTTATTGTATTGCTTTTACAGTTGAATTTACTGACCCATTGAGGGTTGTTTGTGGTGCTTAATTTTGTGTGTAAGGTTTAATTTTGTGGTGTAGCATTCTGTTTTTAGCATTCTGACAAATTCAACTACAAAAGAAATAGCTTAATGTTTATGAAGTTTTAATTTGTCAAAATGCTGTTGGTTATGAAGTTTTTAGCATTCTGACAAGAGACGAAAGGCAACATGGCAAGTGACTATTTGTTTTGCTTCAGTCTTTTGACTAAGAGAAAACAATTTCAAAAAAAAAGAAAAAAAAAGCTATAACGGTGTTTTTACAAACGCCACTACAGTGCAACGGTCATATTTTAAAAATAGGAAAAAAAATCTATCACGGCGTTTTTAAAACGTCGCTAAATAGTGGATGACGTCATTTTATTTCTATTTATCACATTTAGTGGCGTTTTTAAAAACGCCGTCTATTATAATTTAATGACGTTTTTAAAGCGTCATAACGTTATAGCGACGGCCGCATCTTCGACGTTTGGTACTAAACGTCATGAAAAGAATTAGCGGCGTTTTTTACACCTATAGCGGCGTTTTTTAAACGCCACTAAATGTGAAATTTTCAGCAGTGTATCTGAACCGTCGATTGTGGATAATCCTGATGCACCGAGCTACCAGCCGTACGTTCACGGCCAGTGCGATCCGCCGGCGCTGATTCCGCTTCATATGCATAGGATTGAGATGGAGGTGGATTGTTATTTGGATACCGCGGTCGTTACGGTAGTGGAACGTGGCGTGTTCATTGTGTTATGTCGAGCAAGAGCTGCAATTATCGAATCATGATACCGATGGGCGACCACGGTTCAGTTCTAGGTGTCGAGGTTGATGATGGTAGAAGATCATACCATATTCAATTGATCCCAATGGAAGATGAAAAAGATTCAGAAAAAAGTAGCCAAAGCCAAAGATGGGTTCCTACTGAAACAGCAGATATACACTGTAAAAGTTCCCCAGGTTGAAGGGGGTTCAAATATTTTTAATGAAAGCCAATTGGTCTCAGAAGTTACCATATTAAGATGGTAAATTCTGCCTCAGTGTGCTATTTAGTTTTCCGGCATATGTCAAACCTGTTGGTAAGAAGATAGCTAAAAGAGAAAAGATAACGTTGAGCGTGAATCCTGGTACTGGGACAGAAGTTTTATGTAAAGCTAATAGCCACCCTCTAAAGGAAGTAAGACGCCAGGTTGGGAAAGTAGGCTTCTTATATGATGCAGAAGTTTTGATGTGGTCAAGTGCTGATTTTTTTTTTAATTTTTTTTTTCATGTGATGTTCCTTCTAGTGACATATTTGGTGGTTTGCTACTGCAATTTGCATCTTTGAATGATATTGATCAAAGAGAGATGTTTTGCATTTATCTTTTCCCCGGCAGTAGTCAGAATAGGAAGGTTCTGTTGGGGTAGTAAATTGAAGTGCTTTGGATCAAAACGTAGAGGGCGGAAAAAGCGTCATTTGGCTCTAAGAAAATTTAATTTATGTTGCCGAAGAATTTGAAAGATTCTTGGCTTGAGGTAGGAATTTTCTTTGAGATATATATATATATTTTTGCAAGATCCATATTATTTTTGAAATCATCCTTTGATTTGTTTTGGAAAATGGGTGGTTAATTCAAGAAAAAGAGTGATTTTGAAAGTGAGTTTACCATTTGATCCTTTGAAATAGAAATTGAGTGTTTTGAACTATGTTAATTAAGGAAAGATGCCTTTGGTGAGATTTCTTAAATGTTATGGAGATTAAATGTTATAGAGATTAACCGTTTTGGTAAGAAAACCTAGAAAATATGAGTTTTAAAAAGATGTTGAGAGATCATGGATAATGTTGTTATATTTATTTTGTGTGTCAAAATAAATGGATGTTTGGAAAATTTCTTATTTATATTTATCTAAAGGGAAAATTACAAACACTCCCTCGAGATTTAGTGAAAATAAAGATTCCCTCTTGAGGTTTGAAAAATTACATCCCACCCCTGAGGTTTATATTTCCATAACAAATTACCCCCCTGAGGTTTTTATTTTTATACAGATTCCCCCTTAATTTGTTATGCAAATTTGACCTTCAGGAGGTAATTTGTAATTTCTCAAACCTCAGGGGGGAATCTGTATTTTCACCAAATCTCGAAGGGGGTGTTTGTAATTTTCCCTTATATAAATGATGAATTTCAGGGAATATGAGAATTGTTGTTCATTTTGGAAATTATTGTTCAAAACGTTGAAATAGTCTTGAAATGACTAATTGTTGAGGATACTTGAGAAGAGGGAATTGTGTTATTCCTTGGATGATGAATTGGAATAACAGTATTTATGTTCATCTTGTGTTATTGGCATATCAATTCATTTGATTACATTAAACTTTGAAAGTTGATTTGAAAACTTGCATTAAGAAAAGAGTGTTGAGAAACAAGTTTTTATGAAATGATTTGGGGTAAATACGATGGTAAGTCTTGAAAGGTGGTGTAGATGATTGGTGTTGAGCCTTCCAGTTAATACTGGTAAAAATGACAAATTGGTAGTACTTATATAGCCTACTTGCAGACACCAACCTAGGGATTGAAAGGTGGTGTAGATGATAGGTGTCAAGCCTTCCAGTTAATACTGGTAAAAATGACAAATTGGTAGTACTTGTATGGTCTACTTGCAGACACCGGCCTAGAGATTATCAGAGTCATATTTACCGCCCTTGAAATAAATTGTTGAGTTTTGAACAATTGAAACTGCATGACATCATTGAGCATGATGGTTTTCAAAAGATGAAAGTGTAATTTATCTTCAAAAAGGGCATAGCATGGCATGTGCATTCCATCTCTTGAGACTTGTATATAATGTATATACTTTGTTAAGGATTTCCCACTGGGCTTTATGCTCACTCTAAGGGATTTTTGTGCAAGAAAAGATGTGGTTATGCCGCCTAACTAAAGGCCAGGAAATGTGTGTTGAGTTTACGAGACTCTCATTTTGCTGTGACTCTGTGTGTAAGCCAAGGGATGTATGTGTCTGGGTTTGAATAACTGTTTGGCATAACCAGGCTCAAGCCCTGGAAATTTGTAAACCCTTGGGGGTATTTGTTGTTTAATTAATTGTCGTTGGATAAATCGTATTATCGTATGAAGACTATTTACATCATGTAATGTAAGCATGAGGATTTATTATCTGTTTTACTTTAAAAGGCCATGACTATTATATACCATTTGGGCATGAAAATCGGGGCGTTACAAGGAGTGCAGCGAGAAGAATGAAAAAAGAGGCATCACCGAAAGATTATTAGAAGGAAAAGGCAACCAATTTGATACCTGTGCAACTCGATCGCACTCATAAGCAACCAAATTTGACGAAAAAATAATTCATTTGGTTTGAGATTTTATTAGATAGGGCTAATGCTTTGTAGCTCGAAATGCTCTTCCCCGAATGGCTCGAAAATTATAACACTCACTCTCTCCATGACTCACTCTCTCTTTCCCCCTTATTTTGTATCTATCTTTCTCTTTCTCTTTCTCAGAGGCAACATTTTCTCCTCTCTGAACTTGCTCATCTCTCTCTTCTCTTTGTTGGGTAGGGAAGTCGGAGCAGATTTTGGCACCTTTATTTTTTTTTCTTTTTTTCTTTCCTTCCTTTCTCTTTTCTTCCTCTTTTTCCTTCCTCTGTTTTTTTTTCCTTCTTTCTTCTTCTTCTTTCTAGACTGTTGATTGAGGCAAAACAAAAAAACAATACAGAGAGAGAGATGGGAATTTTACACCAAACCCAAAACCAAAACCAAACCCACAACCACAAATCAAAATCGACATTGAAACCCAAATTAGACAAAATTAGACAAAATCAAACAAAAATTCGAACAAAATCAAACAAAAATTTGAACTGCCATGAAATAATTGATGCATGTACATATACATATACATATATATATATATATAAATGTTGAAGACAAAGGTTTATACCTTTTTGATTGATGATTCTCTCTCTCTCTCTCTCTCTCTCTCTCTCTTTGCTCCTCTCCTCTTCTCTTCTTCTTCTTCTTTGTTCTTCTTCTGCAGTATATGGAAAAGAAAAAAGAAAAATTCCAAAACAACGTCGTTTTGGAATTTCGGGCCACACGAGCCGCTAATCTTTCAAGCTACGTAGCGGGACTCTGAAAGAAAAGAAAAAAGAATTCCAAGTCTCCAACAGCACAATGAGCACAGAAGCATCACCAACAAATTTCATTTGTTTCCTCCAACTTTCATTTCTGTTAAATCAATAAAATGAAAAAAAAATAAAAAAATAAAAAACTAAGATGTAAGAAATGTGTTAAAAAAAATGAAATACAAAATTCTTGAAGATGTATGTAAAAAATGATATCAACTATCACACAAGTGACATACGTAAGGTGGGTCAGTCCAAGACTCTACGATTTGTCATCAGAAAAAAGTACATCTTGAGATTTATTTAAAATACAGATTACTCCTTATAATTTTGAAAATCACAAATACTCTATTATAAAAAAAATTATTTAGCAGAATTAACAGAAAAAATTAAAATTTTTATCTACTCTTTTATACAACAATAAAATTATATGAATTATTAATTAAAATATATTTATAACATTATTAAAAACTATTAATTGATTTAATAATTTTTTTTTTAAAATTGAGTTATTTGTTATGTGATTAAAAATTATGGAAGTGAAATGTAATTTTTAAAATTATAAGAGACAACATATATTTTAAGCAAACGTCATGGAGGTGTATTTGTAATTTATCTATAAAAAAAATAAAAAATAAAAAGGTAAATCAACTTGCCCAGTATATATATATTGGTTTTCAATTTTTTTTCATATATCGGTAATGCTATATGGCCCAATATATATATAGGGAAATAGTGAAGTTGTAGAGTTAAGGAGTTGAGGAGGAAGAAGAAAGTGGAAGTGATCGATTACACAAACAATGGCTGATTTTGAGATGCCCAGAGTTAGACTCGGAATCCACGGATTTGAGGTAACAAAACCCTAATTAGCCCTTTTTTTTTTTCTTCCAAATTCCCACCAATAATCGGTATTTGTTTCTGTTCAAACACGATTATGGAGCTGAAATTTGAAATTCAAATGATTATCAATATGCATGTCGGTTCAATTCTTTACACTCCAATC